CTTTTTAGACATGGCTCTTAAAAATGAACATATTGAAGTAGCTGATTTAAATTATTTGCCGTAAATATGTTTAAACTTTTCAAAGACCCTATGGATATAACATTCTCTGTCTTTTTCTTATAAGCTTTTTCGTTAGTCTTTTGCTTACTTTAATTCTTGTCTACTACCACAGAGAGCTGCAAAGTTAAACAATTACCTGTAATTTTTTGTTCAACATACACCCCAAGGAAAAGGTTTTTCATACTGGGTGAGATCGAAGTAATGTTAAGCAAAAAAAAAGAAAAAAAAAGAAAGAGTTTTGCAAATGAGACCTTCAAGAGAATCACCTGGCAGGTCAAATAATGAAATGTAGGCTGGGTTTTGAAAGAGTTACAACTCTTTTTCTGCCCTATGTTGGCTGTCAGATGATTGGTTTTCACTATGATTACAGACTGGTGGTTTTCAAGGTTATCACCAACATAGGGAGCTGGGATAGTGACGAGGACAAGTTAAAATGCCACAGAGGTCACTGTTCTTACCGAGATTCAGCTGTTTTTGTTGGGTAGATGACCCCAGAATTGCTGCAACCCTTTGGCTAATTTCCAGAGTTCTGAAAAAGTTAATTCTGACAATTGTTGCAAGATTCCTAATTGCTTACATGCAGAAGAAAATTTTTGGAAGTTTCTACTCTGCTGTTTTCACTAAAGTTATCTGTTTCTCCTGAGAACTTATTTACTTGGAAAGTAACTTTATTTTCCCCTTTATGATACAGTAACAGATGGTAATGGTATTTTGAATCAACCCTTTTTTCAGCAGAAGGGGCCGTGCACAAACAAGATCCAGATCATTGTTAACCATCATCATTCATGGCGATATAATTGATTTAACAATCCTTCCAACAGGTTTCCATCAGCATTACGAGATTAAAAAGAATCAATGTAAATGTCTAAGTTGCATGAGAACAGTTTCATAATTGTTCATATAATTAAATATCACATACAAATAATCTCAAAAATCAAATTAATTAGGAAAGTATGAACTCTAAGATATTGGTAGAAACCAAATAGTACACTGATGTACATATTCTGAAATATAATAGGAAAGCACAAATCATGCTATTTTAAATAGTGACAGACATCTTTGCAACGTATGTGTTCTGGAAGTAGTTCAAATGTAAAAGCATCCTTTTGAAGATAAGGGTTGAATACTGAGAGATAATGGTTGCTTTTAATTTACCAATTAAAATTTCTCACTTGGAAAATAGAAGACTGCTGTCTCACATATACAGTTTCAAGAAAATTAAAATCAGTGAAATACAAAAGATACTTTTGATAAACATGGAGTACCAGGTTGGAAAATTTAGAGGTAGGGCCAATTTAATTCAAAAGTTAAATTGGCTTTTATTAAGTGTTTATTGGAGTAGATCTAATAAACATGTTTGTTGTGCTACAAAGAAAACTTAAGTTTAAACAGCTCAATTAAAAATTTCCACTGGGTAATTCATGATAGAATGGTTAGAGAAAAGCCACACTGTATAAAAATTTCAATAGTTGTGCATTTAAATGTGATACCCCAAATGTTAGAAATGCCTGTAGACAGAATTACTATTTCATTTAAAAATTGTGGCTTGAATAACAACAGTTTTTTAAATAACTCAAGACACACCAACTCACAACCATTTTTATCTGTTTAATTTTATCTTCCATACCATTTGCCAAACTGCCCTACATGAAATGGCTAAAGTCCCCAAGCTCATTGTCATTCAAAAACTCATTTGTCAATTGGCTTTTTGGAACCCCAAACAGACTTTTTCGTAAAAATAAACTTGTAAATGATAGTTTGATTTTAGATCAGATCACAGATTTCTAAAAATAAAATGTGTGAAGTATATATAGTAATGGTGATAAAGGCTCAGGATTATAGACCTAAGAATGGGTGAATTGATTTAAAAGAGGACAAGTTTTTTTTTTTTTTTTTTTTTCTATTTATGGAAGACTGGCCAATCTTAAGAAACTTTAAAGGGAAAATACAAGTTTGTTTTTAATGTATACCCTACCTTCGTTTTAGGCCTCCCTTTTAACTGCCTCTTGATGTCTTTTTTCATACATACTCAACATCCTCAGTTGTATTATTTATAAATAAGCCAAAGATAATCTATTCTGTATACATCAAATGTTTTCACTTTCCCCTGTACTAAAATTTCATGCTACCAGCTATTATCTAGAAAGCAGTCAGACAGATATAACTCTCTCAATGTTATTGATATTTATAGTTTTGCAATGGTTAAATGTGAGGAGAAGGTTGGCTATCTTGTTTGATTATCTATTAACTTTAATCTGTGCTGTGTCACTTACTAGTTGCATAATGTTAGGCAAGTCTCTTTTCATACCTCAATTTCTCCATCTATAAATCTCAAATAGCAATAGTCCTATGTCATAGGGACTCATATCATTGTGAGTAAACACTGATACACTACTATATTACTGCATTTAGGACTATGCCTAAAATAGAGTAATTATCAATTAAGATCAATTTTTACTCCCCCCCCCTTTTTTTTAATCAGAAACCATCTTTATTTAAAAAGAGGGAGAACTGCTGCTGGTGTCTCACCCAACTCCTCCCCGCAGCCATTGGCATCCACTGTCAGGTTTCCATGTTCCTGGACTTCAGATCCTTCGTCCTCTCCAAATTGATTTTATCAGCTGTCCAGCTATGTTGAGGCGATCTTACTCTTTCTCTTGGTGGGCACAGGCAGAAGCATCTCATTAGTATTGAAATGCATCTCCTGACAGCCCTGCGGCGCCCCAGCTTCTTGTTGGCTGGGCCAACACAGGCTCGGACTTCCTAGCTTGGAGGACGCTGGCTTCCTGTGATTATTGTTGAGCCAGGGTACTCTGGGTGGAGGAGGCGGCCATGAGGTCACGCGGGAGGGCTTGCTGAGCCAAGGTTTCTAAATCTCCACAATTGCCGAGAGAGCTCTCGATGGTCGGGGAGGCCATGGGGGCATGCTGGAGGTCTGGATTAAAATGCTCCAGCTTCCTCTGCAGGCCGGCAGGTGAACTGGAAACTTGAGTGGATAGAGAACAGGTGGGATCCCCCGGAGCAAGGGACTGTAGTGTGTTAGTGGATTGATTTTTTTTTTTTTCTATCTAAAATAAGGTAGGTGGCCACAGGATAATTGAATAAGTTTTCTTTAATTGCCTTGAAGATGTTCTCAACCTGGAATCCCATGGCCACCAAGAGTTGGGTTGTTTCAGGGTTTGGGTGGTCCATGATTTGCTCTTCATAAGTTGTCAGAGGCAACTCCTGGCCATTGTTCACCCACGGGTTCCTCCTAACTTCTTCTACTGTGGGCCTCTCCCTGGGGTCTGGCATTAACAGTTTTTTCATTAGGTTTTTAAGGCCTTCTGAAAAGGAATCCAGCCAAATGTAATTTCCAGATTTAAGTTTTTGTTTGAGGATCATAATTCTCCATGAGAAGGGCAGATCCCTGGATATCATCTGCTACAAAATGACGCCTAGGCTCCAAACATCCATGGTGGGCATTGGTAGCCCCAGCCCTGGAAGACTTCTGGGGCCATGTATGTAAGGCTGCTTGCCTTGCCGGGAGTCAAACGGACACATTCCTCACTCTCCATGCCTGATAACTGCGTCATCACCTGAGCTCATTATCTGGCTTCCCCACAAAGCTTCCCCCCACCCACCTCTGCATACCATTCCCAAGCCCACACAGCACTAAATTATCCATACAACTTCCAGCCCACTGTTAAAAAACTGCAGAGAAATTTTTTTAAAAAAAGAAGCTCCACCGTTCCCTGCCCAGCAATACCCTGCCCAATTCGCCCCGGCAGGCCCGCGTACCCAAAGTCCTGCCCACCTACCAATGGCAGCTACTTCCTACTTTAACTCCGTGTACTTCCTGCTCCTCAACAGCCAATAGAAATGCCTTCTCTTTGTTTCCCCAGTAGTCTATCAAAGCCCACTTAACCAAAGCCCTGCCCACCTACCAATGGCAGCTAGTTTCATTACTTCCTACTCCTCAACAGCCAATAGAAATGCCTTCTCTTTGTTTCCCAGTAACCAATCAATTGCCTGCATACCCCATAAAACTCCACACCCTGAACAACCGGGTGACTTCTCTGGCCCCTCTTAGACCAGTGAGGATGCTTGGGAGCTGAATAAATTGGCTGCTCATCTTTTTTCATACCTGCCTCAGTTTCCTCGTTTTATCTTGGCAATAAATCTTACAATGTAGACATAGGTGCCACAACGTGTTGTCAGCTTCTGCCCCTCAAGGTAAGTTATTACTGAGCCAAAACCTGCAATTTTTACATTTCCTTCCCTGTCCAACATGATATTTCCTGGATTCAGGTCTCTGTGTGCTATTCATTTTCTGTGGCAGTACTGCATGGCTGACAGCATCTGCTGGAACATGGCCCGGGCCTCCTCCTCTGTCTTGAGGTTGCGGTACATCCACTGGCACAGGTTTCCTCCTGATGCGTACTCCATTATCAAGTGGCACACATCTGTGGTGTCAATAACTTGATATAGCTTAATTATATTGGGGTGGTGCACAGACTTTAAAATATTCATCTCTCTCTAGCTAGTGATGATGCAGGAGCCAGTTTTGCGGGTGATTTTCACGACCACCGGGCTCCTAGTCAGCAAGTGCCGGGCCAGCTTGACCTCACTGAAGTCACCACAGGCAATGAGGCCCAGCATTTCATAATTCTGTAGCCCCTGGTCAGGTGGGGTGGAGACTGATCTCTGCCCCATGGTGCCTGACACCTCTCTACACTAACTACACAACTACTCTAACTATACTGACTATGCTAATAATACAATTCTAACTACGGTAAAATACTAAGCAACAATACTGACTATATCAAAGTACGCTAAAATACTAAGCAATGATACTGACTATACTAACTACACTAACAATGCTAACTAGAATAACACACCAACACCCCTCACACAGAAACCCTCCCCCACCCCAAACACCCCCACACCTAACCCCCTCCACACACAGATACACACACACATGCACACACCACACAACTCGCAATCACTAAACTGGTCTGAGTCCACAGGTCACCAAATAGGCTTCCAGGGATCTATCAGACCAAAAACCATGACCCAGCCAGGGCCTTACACAGGCCCTGTCTGTGATGACATCACAAAGGCTTTTGATGAGTTCAGAGCAAAACAGGCCTAGTCATGGCTGGGGATCATTCACAGATGTTTTCTCACTTTTAGTCCCCAAACCATCTTCCTCTTTTAAAAAGAAGAGTGCTTTTGGCTTTTGTCTAGATGGGTTATAGAGATTGATATTTAGTTTCCCAGCTATTTAAACTGGTACAACACTTCAACAGCATTTTCATTTGTAGTTTCTTTTTCTGTAATTTTTTTTATTATACTCTTAAGTTCTGGGGAACCTGTGTAGATTGTGCAGGTTTGTTACATAGGTTTACATGTGCCTTGGTGGTTTTCAATCATTTGTAATTTCAAAATCTGAAACAGCTTTTGGATTTTGAAGATCTCCTAAGGTCTACATGCAAAATATTCAATTCCTTTTTTTTCCATCTCTGAATGGTAGGTCTCAACCATTGAGAAGGGAGACAATATTTTCCTTTCCTTTAGGGATTTTCCTTTGTCATGTGGTTGAGATTATGTAAGGGACACAGAGGAAACAGACATACCCTACCGTCCACGAGCCCATAGCCTCATCAGGAAGGCCCCCCCAGCCATGAAGCTTCTTCAGCGTGAGGAGCACAGGTGAAGTGGGAGCCAGAGAAGAGTGGCCTGGGCTGCAGGTTGGCGCTGGTGAGGGAGGAAGTGGGGCTTTCTGGAGGTCAGTGTGCTGAGCCCTGTCGTGTGAGGCGGGGTCGCCTAAGTGAGTAGGGACAAGAACAGGAGGGTAGCCTCTGCGAAGACCTAGGATGCCCAAGGGTGGCTCGCTGGAGGGATGCGCTCGTCTGAACGAGTGAATGGGGCCAGGTTGGGAATGCTCGAGTCCCAGGACAGAGGCTGAGCCTGTATTCTAGGGCCAGGGCTGCGGAATAGTTCTGAGCCCCTCACTGGGCCACAGCCCTCAGACCCTGACTCTGCTCCTGATCTGGGAGTGGGCTCAACTGAACTTCGCCTCCTTGCCAGCCTCACTGCCACCAGCCTTCCCCACCTTCCTCCGAGAGGGATTCAAGGAAAAGCCACCTCTGGCCTCCACCATCACCTGCTGGCCCTGAGACCTTCAAGGAAAAGCCCTCCTCCTTGTCCACCAGGGCTCACCTGGGCAGCCTGTTCTCCCCACGGCCCTGCCTTACAGACCACCCTGAGTGCCCAGGTGAGTCAGGCCATCATGTTTCCTACACACAGCCCCCACTGCCTGGAGTCCCCCCGTTTACTCTCCTGCACTGGGTGCCCTCCTGTCCGTTCAGTCCCAGCTGAGATATCTGGCACTCTGGGGAGCATCCCTGAGCCCCAGACACAGAGGAGCATCTTCTTCCCTGGATCCCAGAACTGCTTCTGCTTTCCTTCTGCCATGGTGCAGAAACCTCTACCCCACGCAACACACACTCATGCACGCACATACTCACACCTAGAACACACTTGCCAACATCTGGGTACATGGATTTCTGCCTGCTGGACTGCTTCTCTCCCAGCCCAGCCTCTCAGGGGCCCCAGGCAGAGGTGCTGCTATTAATAGTAGGGGCCCCGTAGGTACACTGGAGGTGGGGAAGGGAAGGGTTCCCCAGGAATAACCCTGCATGGATGACAGTCACCCCATAGAGGGCATGGCCACCAGGAAACATAGGTCTTGAATAAGGTGGAGGCAGCAGGTACAGGCTCAAAAAAGAAGGTGAGGCTGAATTCCCAGAGTCCCTAAATGCCAGGATGAGGCACTTCTATTGCTTCCTGGGGAGCAAGCTTTGGAAGAGGCTGCTCGTGGGGGCAGTGCTGGGGACGCTGGTCTGGAGGGAGGTGGCCACTGAAGGGGCCACACCCCTGTGCCTGTCCCTGATGGCCCATTCCACACTGGCACCAGGAATGGCCTCTTGCCTGGTGCCTGAACACCCCAACATGCTCCTCCCAGGATTTTGCACTTCTTCCTCCTTCTTTTGTCTTTTTTTCTCATTGCATTTTAGGTTTTGGGGTACATGTGAAGAACATGCAAGATAGTTGCATAGGTACACACGTGGCAGTGTGATTTGCTGCCTTCCTCCCTTTCACTTATACCTGGCATTTCTCCCCATACTATCTCTCCCCAACTCCCCATCCCCCGCTGTCCCTCCCCTATTATCCCCAAGTGACCCCTGTGTGTAGTACTTCCCTCCCTGTGTCCATGTGTTCTCATTGTTCAATACCCACCTATGAGTGAGAACATGTGGTGTTTCATTTTCTGTTCTTGTGTCAGTTTGCTGAGAATGATGTTTTCCAGATTCATCCATGTCCCTACAAAGGACACGAACTCATCATTTTTGATTGGTGCATAATATTCCATGGTGTATATGTGTCACATTTTCCCTGTCTAGTGTATCATAAATGGGCATTTGGGTTGGTTCCACGTCTTTGCTATTGTAAACAGTGCTGCAATGAACATTCGTGTGCATGTGTCCTTATAATAGAATGATTTATAATCCTTTGGATATATACCCAGTAATGGGATTGCTAGGTCAAATGGAATTTCCATTTCTAGGTCCTTGAGGAATCACCACACTGTCTTCCACAATGGTTGAAGACATTTACACTCCCACCAGCAGTGTAAAAGTGTTCTTGTTTCTCCACATCCTCTCCAGCATCTGTTGTCTCCAGATTTTTTAATGATTGCCATTCTAACTGGCGTGAGATGGTATCTCAATGTCGTTTTGATTTGCATTTCTCTAATGACCAGTGATGATGAGCATTTTTTCATATGTTTGCTGGCCTCATGTATATCTTCTTTTGTAAAGTGTCTGTTCATATCCTTTGCCCATTTTTGAATGGGCTTGTTTTTTTTTTTCCTGTAAATCTGTTTTAGTTCTTTGTAAATTCTGGATATCAGCCCTTTGTCAGATGGGTAAACTGCAAAAATTTTTTCCCATTCTGTTGGTTGCTGTTTCATTCTGTTGACTGTTTCTTTTGCCGTGCAGAAGCTGTGGAGTTTGATTAGGTCCTGTTTGTCTATTTTGGCTTTTGTTGCCAATGCTTTTGGTGTTTTGGTCATGAAGTCCTTGCCTACTCCTATGTCCTGAATGATTTTGCCTAGATTTTCTTCTAGGGTTTTTATGGTGCCACGTCTTATGTTTAAGTCTTTAATCCATCTGGAGTTAATTTTAGTGTAAGGTGTCAGGAAGGGGTCCAGTTTCTGCTTTCTGCACATAGCTAGCCAGTTTTCCCAACACCATTTATGAAACAGGGAATCCTTTCCCCATTGCTTGTTTTTGTCAGGTTTATCAAAGATTGTATGATTGTAGATATGCTGTGTTGCCTCCGAGGCCTCTGTTCTGTTCCATTGGTCTATATCTCTGTTTTGGTACCAGTACCATGCTGTTTTGATTACTGTAGACTTGTAGTATAGTTTGAAGTCCAGTAGTGGGATGCCTCCTGCTGTGTTGTTTTTACTTAGAATTGACTTGGCTATGCGAGCTCTCTTTTGGTTCCATATGAAGTTTAAGGTGGTTTTTTCCAGTTCTGTGAAGAAGGTCATTGGTAGCCCGATGGGGATAGTGTTGAATCTGTAAATTACTTTGGGCAATATGGCCATTTTGATGATATTGATTCTTTCTAACCATGAACATGGAACGTTCTCCATCTGTTTGTGTCCTCTCTTATTTTGTTGAGCAGTGGTTTGTAGTTCTGCTTGAAGAGGTCCTTTACCTTCCTTGTTAGTTGTATTCCTAGGTATTTTATTCTCTTTGTTGCAATTGTGAATGGCAGTTCATTCTTGATTTGGCTCCCTTTAAGTCTGTTACTGGTGTATAGGAATGCTTGTGATTTTTGCACATTGATTTTATATCCTGAGACTTTGCTGAAGTTGCTTATCAGTTTTAGGAGATTTTGGGCTGAGACAATGGGGTCTTCTAGATACACTATCATGTCGACTGTAAATAGGGAGAATTTGGCTTCCTCTTTTCCTATTTGAATACTCTATTTCTTTTTCTTGCCTGATTGCTCTGGCTAGAACTTCCAGTACTATATTGAATAGGAGTGGTGGGAGAGGGCATCCTTGCTAGTGCCAGATTTCAAAGGGAATGTTTTCAGTTTTTGCCCATTTAGTATGATATTGGCTGTTGGTTTGTCATAAATAGCTTTTATTATTTTGAGATACATTCCATCAATACCTAGTTAATTGAGGGTTTTCAGCATAAAGGCCTGATGAATTTTGTCAAAGGCCTTCTCTGCATCAGTTGAGATAATCATGTGGTTTTTGTCTTTGGTTCTGTTAATGTGGTGAATTACATTTATAGACTTGCGTATGTTGAACCAGCCTTGCATCCCCGGGTTGAATCCTACTTGATCATGGTGGATAAGCTTTTTTATGTGCTGTGGCAATTGGCTTGCCAGTATTTTATTGAAGATTTTTGCATCTATGTTCATCATGGATATTGGCCTGAAGTTTTCTTTTCTTGTTGACTCTCTGCCGGGTTTTGGTATCACGATGATGCTGGTCTCATAAAATGTTTGGGAAGGATTTTTGGATTGTTTGGAATAGTTTCAGAAGGAATGGTAACAGTTCCTCTTTGTGTGTCTGGTAGAATTCGGCTGTGAACCCATCTGGACCTGGGCTTTTTTTGTTTGGTAGGCTCTTAATTGCACCTCAACTTCTGATCTTGTTATTGGTCTACTCAGGATTTCGACTTCTTCCTGGTTTAGGCTTGGGAGGAGGCAAGTGTCCAGGAATTTATCCATTTCTTCCAGGTTTACTAGTTTATGTGCATAGAGTTGTTTGTAATATTCTCTGATGATGATTTGAATGTCTGTGGAATTTGTGGTGATTTCCCCATTATCGTTTTTTGTTGCATCTATTTGGTTATTATCTCTATTCTTTTTTATTAATCTGGCTAGTGGTCTGTCTATTTTGTTGATCTTTTCGAAAAACCAGCTCCTGGATTTGTTGATTTTTTGAAGGGTTTTATGTGTCTCTATCTCCTTCAGTTCTGCTCTGATCTTTGTTATTTCTTGTCTTCTGCTAGGTTTTGAATTTTTTTAATGTTGCTCCTCCGGCTCTTTCAATTTTGAGGAAAGGGTATCAATTTTGGATCTCTCTACTCCTCTCATGTGGGCACTTATAGCTATATATTTTCCTCTAGAGACTGCTTTAAATGTGTCCCAGAGATTCTGCTGTGTTGTATCTTCGTTCTCGTTGATTTTGAATAACTTTTTTATTTCTACCTTCATTTCATTGTTTATCCAATCAACATTCAAGAGCCAGTTGTTTAGTTTCCATGATGCTATGTGGTTCTGAGTTAGTTTCTGAATTCTGAGTTCTACCTTGATTGCACTGTGTTCTGAGAGACTGTTTGTTATGATTTCCATTCTTTTGCATTTGCTGAGGAGTGATTTACTTCCAATTATGTGGTCAGTTTTAGAGTAGGTGTGATGTGGTGCTGAGAAGAATGTATATTCCTTGGATTTGGGGTGGAGAGTTCTGTAAATGTCTATCAGATTTGCTTGTTCCAGGTGTGCGTTCAAGTCCTGGATATGCTGCTAATTTTCTGTCTGGTTGATCTGTCTGATATTGGCAATGGAGTGTTAAAGTCTCCCACTATTATTGTGTGGGAGTCTAAGTCTTTTTATAAGTCATTAAGAACTTGCCTTATGTATCTGGGGGCTCCTGTATTGGGTCCATAAATATTTTGGATCATTAGCTCTTCTTGTTGTATCGATCCTTTTATCATTATGTAATGTCCTTCTTTGTGTCTTTTGACCTTTGTTGCTTTAAAGTCTATTTTATCAGAGACAAGAATTGCAACTCCTGCTTTTTTTTGCTCTCTGTTTGCTTGGTAAATCTTCCTCCATCCCTTTATTTTGAGCCTTTGTGTATCCTTGCATGTGAGATGGGTTTTTTGGATACAGCACACCAATGGGTTTTGGCTTTTTGTCCAATTTGCCGGTCTGTGTTTTTTGATTGGTGCATTTAGCCCATTTACATTTAGGGTTATTATTGTTATGTGTGAATTTGATACTGCCATTTTGATGCTAGCTGGCTGTTTTGCCCATTATTTGATGCAGATTCTTCATTTTTTTTTTGTTGATGCTCTTTAGCATTTGATATGTTTTTGGAATGGCTGGTACTGGTTGTTCCTTTCTTTTTGTGTTGCCTCTTTCAGGAGCTCTTGTAAAGCAGGCCTGGTGGTGACAAAA